TCTCAGTAATTCCGCAGAGGGGGGACCCGCATGTGGGGACCAGGGGGCTCATACACAGAGGAGGGAGTCCTTTGTGGGGAGGGGGCCTACACGAGGCCTGGGCAGCCTGGCAGGCCGGGGACTGGGCTCTGGGAGGCAGCCAGACATCCCCACTGGACAGGCCAGTGGGATGCCACGCAGGCCACCTGGGGTGCAGGCAGGCCCGGTGGGGTGACAGCACCGGAAGTCCCACCCATCATTCTGGGCAGGAGTGCAGGTCTTTCTGCTCCTCAGAGGAAGAGATGGGAGTCTAGGAGCTTCGAAATCCACCTGGTGGATGGGACGATGGCAAGACTGAGCACGACACCTTGCCCAGCTGTGGGGACCTCAACTGTGCTGGAGACGGTGTTGGGGAGCCCCCATGGAGGCTTTGAGGGGAAAGGAGGACCCCAGCATGGGCCTGTGGTGGGTGGGGCCACCTCGGGCGTGCACAAGAAGTGAGTAGGGGGACCAGCAGTTAGCATAATAGCTATGTCGCTGGACTCCCATGTAGTCGACCACCATTCGAGTCCCTGGTGGCTTGAACTCACGCCGGGCGCGTGTGCGTGTGTGCCCAAGATCCTGAGAGGAGAATGGAGGAGAAAGGATTGCGGCATGGCCATCCCCCCGGGGGGTGATTTCTCGCTTTCTGTCTCTCTGTCTCTGTCTTTCTGGTGAGCGCACACGCCCTATAGCAAAAACCTCTCCAAAAAAAGAAGGGGAGGGGACTTCAGGCTTCCTAGGGCAGACTCTGGGTCTTCCTCTGTCCCACTTTCCCTGAGGACAACCAGAAGTCATGTTTTGTCCTCAGGGGGACCACAGGTGTCACAAGTGTTCACTGAGGACCTGACACCTCCCATCCCTGGGCCCAGCTGGGAGGCCCCCTCCAGTGCAGTTTCCCAGGCTGTGTCCCGTCGGGGCCTCCTGCTGACAGAGCCAGGAATGGAAGGAGGTATGAAGCCGCCAGTCCTCCCAGCTGCTGTTCCCGTGGTCGGACATGGGGCGTGAGGGCCCAGGGTGCTGGCACTGCGTGTGACAGGTCGTGGGGCAGGGGCTGCTGGAATGTGTCACAGGGTATGCGGAGGGGGACGGGGCAGTGGACAGACTCTGTTTCCCAGCTGTGTGACCTGGGGACGCTGCCTAACTAACCCCTGTGAGGCTCGGCTCCGGTGGTCTTAGAACGGGTAGGGCTGGCTCTAGCTTGCGGATTTCTGTGGGAATTCACGACATAGCATGTGAAGGACCTTTGGTAAGAGAGGGACGTTTGCCTAGACTAGTTTCTATCATCTTGAAATTGATCGAGATACTTCCTAACAGGGTCAGTCCCAAGGCCTACTAGGTAAGGGAGCCAGATCCCACATGGCCAACTGCGTAGTTCGAATCCTGGCCTTGGTGGCTTGAAAAACAATCTGGGCCTATGTATGTGCATGCCAGAATGCCGACAGGAGGAGCGCTCTCTCCTCGTCTCTCTCTGGCAGACATACACACACTCTGGCAATAAACTAAAATGAAATAAAACAGAAACAAGTGAATCTAACTTACTACAGATGAAACGAGTAACGTACCTACTGTGAGAAGACGGGGAGCACGAGCCTGAGCGGCTTTAGGAAAACGTATGTGGCTGTCTAAGACGGGGGGAGCCACAGTGCTGTGCTTTAAGTGGAGTGTTTATTTCTCAGAGGTGTCAGTTAGAGATTCAGAAACGACTGTCTGTGTATTCTAGCACTAAGCAAATAAGTAAATACAGTGTGACTAATGACAGCCAGACTTCTCACAGTCAGGGACGGGAGTGAAAAATACAGAGGGGCGGCTAGAACGAACACCGTGGCGTTGGATTGGAATTGGAGGCATCCGTGCAAACGCCTGGTTTTCGAAGACGCACGGGTAGGGAAGTAGCTTTAGGTGTAAATATGTTTCCTAGCTCTAACCACTGAGAGGACCCGAAATAATGCCCAAATCCGGAGAACTCACCCAGCACCAGACCAATCGAAGACACCAAGGCTCCCGGAGAAACGGATCTTTCAGACCTGTGGCAAGAAAAGTAGAAGCTGGGCCTCCTACAGCCTGTGGTGCCAAACGGTAAAGCCACCACTAAATTGTGGGGGAAGCCCCCGAGGGCCCGCCTCTGCGGCGCAGTAGGAGGCATACTGACCTGCAGTGCTGGAAGCCGCAAGACCAACCGCGGTTCTGGTTCGGCTCCCCGCCTGGGCCACCAGAGACATGATGCGTGCCTGAGGGAGAAAGGGGGGAGCGGGAGGGGACTGGGGTGTGATGAGACCCTATCGAGGGCTCTCTCTCTAGTGTGTGCACCTGCACTCTGTAGGGTGAACACAATAACTTTGAGGAACATCAACGTTTAAGGGGCAGCAAGAGGCAGACGAGAGCCTGAGAGAAGACTTCAGAGAGGAAGGAAGAGAAGAGAAAGATCGCGGGGGCGAAGATGGAGTGGCCATTTTGTCAAAGGCTGCAGAGGCTAAGATCGGTTCTAAGCCCATATAGGGGCCTGGGCCTTGGAGGTCCTGGGTGCTCCTGGGAAGGGTTTCCGTGAAGTGGTCGTGGGGGAGTGCAGGGCGGAAGGGTGGGCCAGAGCCTACAGACGGCGGTTGGGAAGACGACTTCGAGATCCTGGCTGCAAGAAGGAAGGAGGCAGAGCCGGACCCAGAAGGGAGGTTGTTGAGGGGAGTCTGTTCTGGACCCTCTGCAGGGATGGCAGCGTGGACAGGAGCCTGTGGCAGTGGCGACTGGCCCGCGCTCCCAACCCACTGCCTCCTCACCCCGCGTGCAGAGCCCTCGGGGCTAGGGCCAGGCCCGTTGTCCAAGTTCCAGGCGAAAAGGGGTGGTGCACATCTCCACTGGCCCGTAAGTCGCGTGGCAGAGCCTCTTGTTCCCTCCCTGTTCACTGGCTGGGTGAAGGGACCTCCCGTGACGTAGAACAGGATAGGGGTACACATGGAGGGTGCCCGGGCCCCTGCGTGATGAAAGGGGGTGCCCGATCAGGAGCACCCACTCTGGATCGTGGCACGAGTGAGAACCTCCGTGTTGAACGACGAAAGCTGCGGCCCTTCTTCACAGCAGCAGGAGCGATCTTAGTCCAGGTGGAGAAATCCCCACACGTGCACGTGTATAAACACAAGCGAAGCAGTCTTGGTTACAGACGTGGAGCGGCCTCCCAGACACGTCAGAGGAGACGCACGGTATGGGACACGCGCACGGCTTGTGATGTGTAGAAAACATCAGGAGAAAATGTACACAGGGCGGGCCCCACACTAGTGGCGAAGGGAGCTGGGCTCCCACGGCCGACCATGGTCACACCCCAGCCCCACCAGCCTGAGAAACATCCATGCCCCAAATCCTGAAGGATGGAGCGATGGAGAGCGGACGGCAGCGTGACCACACTCCGTTGTGGGGTGCTTTCTCCCTCTCTTTCC